CTCTTTCTCCACAGATTCTCTTCATCTTTATTGACAGTGATGTGGATGATAATCAGCGAATTCTGGAGTTCTTTGGTCTTAAGAAGGAAGAGTGCCCAACAATCCGCCTCATTACCCTAGAGGAAGAGATGACCAAATACAAACCAGAAACATCAGAAATCACAGCAGAGAACATCATCACCTTCTGCACAGCCTTCACAGAGGGAAAACTTAAGGTGACTGAGAAGTTTCTTTGGGTTAAGGTTTAAATAATGTCTGATGTAAATGGAAATAAGTTTTTATGGTAGATGTAGTAGTTACTTAAAAATTGGCACTTAAATGAAAACGTGTTCTGTCTTTTTGGAATGATTGTTGTGTGTGTCTGTGTGTGTGTTATGAATGATTGTAATGTCTTTCAGCCTCATTTGATGAGTCAGGACATTCCTGATGACTGGGATAAGAACCCTGTCATGGTCCTGGTGGGCAAAAACTTTGAAGAGGTTGCCTTCGACCCCGCCAAGAATGTCTTTATAGAGTTTTGTACGTATTTTTTCTCTATATAAAAATGTCTTTGCTTAGATGCAAGTTCTGTAGTCTTGAATGTTGCTTGTCATTCCATGTCTGAGCATTTGGTTTGAGAGATCACTTTGCATGGCATATTGCCTGATTTATTTTGAAAGTGGGATCTTTTGATTGCCTATCCTAATAGCCTGGCATTGTAAACACAAGATTCCTGTATCTGTCCAAAAGCATACTGCTAATCCTGGCACGGGCACCCACAGGATACTTACTTGGAGAGCTCTCCTTCCTATATACTCTTAAACTTGCTATAATAGGAAAGAGCGAGAAATGCAGAGATCATTTTGGCTCTAGAGATCTTTAAAGCAAACTGCTTCCCAAACTAGCATTTCTATGAGGAAAGGGACTTTTTTTTTTTTTTTTACATGGCTGTGACTGACTTTCTAATAAATGACATAGGTCTTGAAGGGTAGAAGGGGGTTATATTTAATGTCATCGAGGACATTAGAATGGTTATGAAAATGGTTGTTGTGAAATGAGTTTTGGATTTCCAAAATGTTTTGACAATGGGTAGATTGCATCATACATGCAGCTGTCAGTAACCAGTGCCAGACTGACTCTGAAAACCCATCTGCTTTTTCCCCCACATTTTAGTCCCATTGTCTGCCCTGTATTTCTCAGCACCCTGAAACCATTATAGGTCCTGCATATCCCTGTTCCTGTACTTTTTACAAGTCCATTAGCCAACTTGATATAATTTCATGTGTCATAACATTATCACTAGTATCAATAAGTACATGTACCTTTGCAGTTATAATCAAGCTCCAGTGGGGTTTTGCATAGTCAAGCTATGTCTGTCCACGCAAACATGACACAATGTGAAATCAGATTTTTTGTAGGATTATATCCAAGTTGCACATCACTTCTGTCTTGCGGAGCAAGTGCAACAGCTGCTAGAACAATTGTAGTCAAATTAAAGTGATAGTTCACAGTTCTGTCATTTACTCCAACATGATTTTCTTCTGTGGAACACAAATGAATATATTTGTAACCCATATGCAAATCCAGTGGTTTTATCCAATTAAATAGTTTATTTACGGTCTAATTTTTGTCTGTTTATCATACTAAGTGATCATAATGCTTCAGAAGACTTTAATTTAATCACTGGAGGTGTATAGATTAAAAGGGTAAACTGCTGTTATCTGACTGAAATCGTCAGTCTTTTAAAGTGTGTAAATTCGCTTTTTAGTAAGAACCAATTATTTTGTATTCGTTTGCTTTTTCTTGATCCAGATGCCCCATGGTGTGGTCACTGTAAACAGCTGGCCCCCATCTGGGATCAGTTGGGTGAGAAATTCAAAGACAATGCAAACATTGTTGTGGCCAAGATGGACTCCACAGCCAATGAGATTGAAGCTGTCAAAGTGCATAGCTTCCCCACGCTCAAGTTCTTCCCTGCTGGTGATGACCGTAAGGTAAGGCCTGGAGACAATTTGCTTCTGTTTTAGGTGTATTTTTAGCATAATGTAATGTGAATTATTTAAAAAATAAATAAATATTGACCGTTCGCAAAGAGCTTGATTGACAGGCGATCTGACCAATCAGAATGTGGATATTATGTGTAGCCGCTGATATCCGCCATCTTGCCCGACATCTGCGGCCGGTCACCATAGAAATCCATGTTAAAACGGGGTAAAAAGATAGACTGAATTGAAACTTTCAATAACTAAGTATAAATATGTGCAGAGGGTTAAGCTGTGCTGTTGTTGGCTGCCACAGTAACGGTAATAAGCTAAGGAATTCCTTTAAAGTACTTGTTTTGCGTACCAAAAAATCTGTCATGTCCGGCGCTGTATGCATGACTTGCAACGCTTAAGTTAAAATACTGAGTGTTAAATAATAAAATGATATGTTAAAACATGTGCTCTTATCATTCTGTGGACAAAATCCCATGAACTTCGCCCCGATCGGGAGCTGTGTATGCACATGTGCGCTCATGTTTTCAATGCAGCTAACCTCGCGTCGCTTCATGTCATCTTCCCACTCATGAAATTATGACAGGTCCTTTACTGCAAAAATATGGTCACTGCGACACTGTAAAGTGATGAAACTATGGCACTATGACCTTTTAAAAACCGTTTTCATAGGTTTCACGTTATACCGTCAGCTCGGAAAATATGTAAATGCGCATGCCCAGTAGCCGAACTGAGGCAATACAGTGATCTGTCACGACACATTGAAGAGTCACAAAACGGTTGCCGCGCACTTGCACCCAAAGCACACGGCGGCAGCAAATCCGATGTTGCCATCCAAAGCTGACCATTTCCAGTCAAACATGACGGAACACGCTTCTAAAGCGGTTCATCTTGATTGCAAGGATTGTTCGATATTACGATGGCTGCAGCAATGCAGACTGTCCCGGCTAGTGAGGGAGATGCCGTGCGACTTTGTTCAAGCGGGAACAAAATTTGAACGGAACGGAACTGAACTGTTTTCAGAAATGGCGTTTTCTTTTCATTTTGTCTCCGTATGATGCATTTAAATGAGTGTTAATGGTTAATACGCGCAACGCTGCTGTTCACAGCAGTAACCAAGGAAACGCTGTATCACTGTACCATAAGCGCTGTCTGCTGTCAGAGAGTGAATCTGCGTCTCATTCAGCCCACCTGCGGTTTCGGTTTCGTACAGATGTTTTATGTAGCATAATTTCACAAAGCTAAAGTTTTCCGCACAATTTACAATTGTGGCTTACATAAACCGACAGGGAGGTCTCAGACCACTTCCTTTGCACCTGTTAGCACGCAAACGGATTTTATGGAGCAATGCCAATCTTTTATCCCTGAGAGCAACGCATGTACAGGGTGTCATGAACCAGGGTGCGGATCTGCGGTCCAGAGGCAACCCCCTCTACGGGGAGTGGAAATTGAACAGGGAAGTGGTCGAACAGATTTGGAGCATATAAGGCAGAGCGCTAGTGGATCTCTTCGCGTCCCACGACAGTGCTCGGTATCCTCTGTTTTTCTCCCTGAAAGATCAGATCGCGCCTCTGGGGATAGATGCGCTGGCACACGAATGGCCTCGCACTCTCCTTTACGCGTTCCCACCAATAGCGTTAATATCCCCAACACTTTACAGAGTGAGGGAGGAGGGACTGAAATTGATGTTAATAGCGAGGTGGCCAGGGAAATATTGGCTAGCGGAAATCATACATATGCTGTACGAAGACCCGTGGTCTCTCCCGCTGCGCAGAGATCTTTTGCCACAAGCAGTGGGGGAGATTTTTCATCCTCATCCAGAATGCCTGGCACTATGGACCTGCCCTGTGAGTGGTTCAATTTAAATACAACCGGTCTGTATGACAGCGTTATTAGAACCATACAAAATCCTAGAGCTTCATCGACTAGGTCTCTTTATGAATGCAAATGGGTCGTGTTTGAGCGTTGGTGCGCAACTAAACACGAGATTCCCTTTCAGTGTTCAGTGGCAGTCGTTCTATCATTTCTTCAGGATTGATATAGCAGTCAGAAACACTTTTATGGTTAAACGCTTTCCCTTGGTCTATCTGCTTATCACATTGGTTTTGATAACAAAACTGTGGGGCAGCATCCTTTGGTATGCAGGTTCATGAAGGGCACGCATGAAGGGCTTTGCCAGTTTCAAAACCGCTTTCCCCTTCATGGGATTTGGGATTGGTGCTTGATGCTTTTTCCATGTCCCCATTTGAGCCGCTGGACAAGGTTGATTTCAAAATATTATCATTAGACGGCACTGCTGTTAGCTTTGGCGAGATTCATGCGCTTTGTGCATTCAGCGTGTTTGCAGTTCATGTCTGGGGATGCAGGGGTAGTTCTGAAACCTAATCCTGCATTCATGCCCAAAATAGTTAATGCTATCATTACTCTTGAGTTAAGAGCCTTCTATCCACCACCTTTTGCTTCATCAGAACAGCAAAAGTTAAATGTATTGTGCCCAGTGCGTGCTTTATGCATTTATACAGAAAGAACCAGAGGGTTCAGGGAGAGTGATCAGCTATCCGTATCTTGGATGAAACCTCATACGGGGAAGCTGATTGCTAAGCAGCGTTTATCGCACTGGATAGTGGAGGCGATTTTGTTGGCAAATACCAGTTAGGGTCTTGTGTCCCCACCTGGTGTACGTGCACACTCAATAAAGGGAATGTCAACTTCGTGGGCTCTATTTAAAGGAGTCATGTTACAGGATATTTGCGAAGCGACGAGTTGGTCCTCACTGCATACATTTGTAAGGTTTTATAAACTGGATGTTACAGCTCAAACTTTAGCACATGCAATATTGAGTGTAGGAATGTGAGTCACGAGTAGGGTTGGGTATCGTTAGAAATTTTCCGGTTCCATTTAAATGAAATATATTTTTTACTATTTTACCTTAATTGAATGTTGTGTTGCTGGAAGGTAGTAAGTAATGTTGAGTAATGCAT